AATTGGGGGGTTGGGAAGTGATTGCCTTTTTCCCCTCTCACCCACCGCACGAATTCTGTTGAAGTTTGGCCTGAGCAACTTTAGAATTCCAGAAGTTCAAGGCTTCGTGAAAGCTCTGGGCGAAGGCTTGAGAATACTCAAATCCTTTTTTCAGCGGATGCTCGAAGCAACAGACCAAAGCCCAGCATAAACCTCCTTGAAGTTTGTGTTTTTTAGACCAATTTTGGTGTCCATGTTCTTTTCGACACCCACCAGCTTGCTGGTCGTTCATGACCATCTGCACGGCACCCCGCGTGGAGTTCCGCTGAAGTGTCGCCACCGGTTCTCCTGTCCAGCTCTGGAGGTTGGGGAGGAGTCCGGTTTCGGCGGGGCCCTGGGGCGGTGTCCCGTGGGAGCCAAAAAGGTCCACCGCGGGTGAAACTGGACCGGCGTAGCGGTGGAGAAGTGGTGCCCATTATTTTTTAGCCGGCCCTCTTCGCTGGCTGCCGTCAAAGAGATCCATAGAGATCCACTGACAACAATTCAATACATTTCAAGATTCATTCATATCGATTTCCATGCGAGCGGAGAGCGGTTTTGTGGAGTCTGTGTGAAACGGCCCTGCGTTTCAGGGCCGTGGGCGACCGGGGCTGCGGAGTGGTCTGCACCCTCTGCGTCTTGAAGAGGGCTGGTTGGAGGAGAACGGGTGGCGACAGCTTTTGGTGGATCTTCACTTCACAGTCGAGGGAGTCGAGATGCTCAATTTCGCACGATTCTGCCGGCTCTGGGAGAGTAATCATGTTGAGCTGTTGATGGTGAAGAGAAAGGGCGCAACGACCTTTCGGACGGGGGAAGCGCGTGTCTGGACCAGAAGCCACTCATTGCCGATTTAAGAGATGTGCTATGAATTCCGAATCACCAGTAGTCACACCCGCCAGTCTACGGAACCTTCTCATTGCCCTCTGGTCCAGCACAAGCTAGGAGTCAGAGGCCAGCTACTTCAGTGCTATGGCAGAACGTCGTTCTATTCTGAAGGACGGGTGGCGTTGGATTCGGGTGGCAGCGGTGCACTTCGCGAAGACTGATGCATCTCCAGGAGCAACGGCACTTGGCTTTGGTGGATGACCGGGAGAGCCGCGGTGCGCAGGCGCAGCAAGCAGCAGTAGAGCTCGTTGGTTGTCCACTTGAGTAGCTCCGGGAGCTACAATGCTGAGAATCCACATTTATACATTTGTGCCAAACAAATGAGCCAGACAGCTTTCGTTTGTACTCCTGAATGTGACGCCCGTTCTGTATTGCAATCTGTGCCACAGCCACCTGTGAGGAAGAGCTTCTGGAGCTTGCACTCCAACACTTGGTCCGGATGCTAGGGGAGGGAGGCCATCGACGTGGCTGCATAACTTGCTTGCTTTTTCTTGCAGATGGGCCAAATGTAGGAACAAGCAGCTACTAGGAACAAAGGGCATCGCTGCTAGGAGCAAGAAGCTAGTAGGTTGGAGGCCATCGCTATTAGTAGCAAGGACGCTAATCTCAATTCCTGGAGGCCACATGAGGAAGGGAGGGCCATTCGGGTTGAAGGGGGGCCATCAAGCGCTTACAACCCACACCTTTGCGTGGCACGGGCTCTCAGCCGTTGAACCCGCCTCCATCCACCGCGTGGTTGGCAAATCGCGCGTCCTTGATGGAGGCAGAAAAGGGCACGGGAAGTACCACATTCAGGGGTTGACAAACACAACTCGGCTCTCGCTCTGCCAGGGTATCAAGCTGCACAAGGAGCTCAAGCGAGCTCTGCAAGAAGAGCGTCAGTTGCTTCAAAGCATGGCCGAGGACAGAGTTGGCCGAGTTTGGGAAGTTGTACATGCCTTGCCCCTGGCACGGCAGTAGGGCGGTAGAGTTGGTTGTCGGCGTCGTGCCCTTGTCCAACACATGCCACCAGCTGTTAGATCCCACAATCGAAAACTTCATTATACTCGACCATGGCGGCCTAGCTAGGGAGTGAGGGAACAGTTTAGCATTTTTCAGAGGCTGTGGGTGTGCGAGGGCTTCGCCCTAAGCTGAGCCACCAAAAGCCATCCTGTCCTCATCGTTTGTGGCTAGATGTTGAACCTTCAAGATTTTGGAGTTGTATGTTTGCGTTGACTCTGACATGGAAAGGAGTGTAGTCTGGAGTCTACATGAAACGCCTGCGTACAGGTGAAAGCTCCAGAACCTAATCACTCCCAAAAACTAACATGGACCCGATAATTTTTCCTCTACAAACCAGTTGTTTTCAGGGTCCATGTTATTTTTCAGTGGGGTATTCAGGGAGTAGCGCGGGATGTGTGGAGCATGAGCTCTTGGGGTCGTGAAGTTGACTTCCGCGCTTGCGGTTTATGTTCAGGGATTTCCTTGGACGGACTGTAATTGCACATAGATACATCTTGGAGGTAAGTCAGCCCTTGTTGGCCTTCAGCCATCTTCGGGCCGTGAGGAGAGCTTTGCGTCGTGGACGAGCTCTTTGGAGGCCACCTTCACCAGGCGGGCCTATTGTATAAAATGCACACCCATATTGCTGTGGAGGTCAAACGACAAAATCTCTGGTTTGGGTCTGCCCCCGTGGTTGGCTGAGAATGGACAGAGTCTACGGCTATCTCTCCTGACCATCCCAAACAGGTCCCTCAGAGACTTTGTCCATCACTCATTAAATTCTTTCCTTGTTTCATCTGGTTTCTGGAACGGTGTCTTCCAGAACTTGTTGGGATTTTTCTAGGTGTGTGCTTTTGGCAAATCTTTTCTACAACCCGAAGTCATGGAGCCCGCAGGACTGTTTCACACATTTTCGAGTGGAAAGGGGGAAGGGCTCAATCTGTTTGAGTGGGCTGGCCCACCGACTAGCTCTTTTCCCCCCACCTTCATCGGCGGGGTCGTTGTGGTCGTTTCCCCTTGCCTCAGCTGGCTTCTGGGCTAAGTACCCGTAAGTTCCTTGCTTCTACACCGCGCTATCGACGAAAGCCAGTGGGCGAACATCAACCTCCCTACGGGAAGCAACTATTGCACCAAGAAGGGGGTCGAAACAGAGAATCCAAGACCATATGCCATCATGTGCCATCATGTGCCATCCATTTGAGGCCCCTCCGGCCAACCGTGCGGTTTCCTGGATCCATTCCGTAAAACATGAGTGTTTCCATGGGGCCGGACGTGCCACTTTCATCGACAGCACTGGCAGGCTTGAAGATCTGGGCGAGAATCCAAAGCCGTTGGGGCCCTGGAAGGGTCAAGCTCCTGGTGTCTCCAAGGATTTGGCAACATATGCCCACTGCAGTTGCAATCAAGAATGAAGTAACAGTTCTGTTCGTGTTTCTTTTCCATGAGGCACACACACAGATATATACATATTATATATATATATACACACATACACACATACGACAGTATATATATATATATATACAGTATATAGATCATGAACCCAGCAGCGTCAGCAGCGCTGGTGGTAGGTTTGCTAGACTTTGGGGCCTGCTGGGCTCATGGTGTCCGTCTTTTTCCCGCTTGGCATTCACCAGGTCCCCTTGATCCGTCCAGTCATTTGTGCTGTTCCCTTCGCTCGGACAACGAGGTTCGACCTTGATTGCCGTCAAGAGGTGGGTGTGGCTGGTGGGGTCCTGGGTGGGGTCCTGGGGCCCTGTGGCCCAACTACACAAGGGAGCAGGTTGAACTGGAAGCTTTGTGAACCAATCAGCTCAAGATGTTCCAGGCAAAAGGTCAATGGCAAAGTGGTAGCTAATGTTCTGGGAGCCAGCTCTACGGGGCTTTTGGTTGCCGGTATGAGATACAGACAGGAGAGATATGCTCAAAAATGAGCTCGAAAGGTAATCCTTGCCAATTGACTGATTGACGAAGCTTGGAAACATCGGTTGATCTAACCTCTCCCTTGTAGATTTGTTTAGGATCGGGGAAGACCCTGACTTCATGATTCAGTCAGATGATTCGCTCAACCAACCGCAGGTCGTGGAATGTTTGCCAGATGAAGTGGACCCGGCCCCGGAGCAGTCGGCTGACACTTGCCTGGTACATCAGCAGGGATATGGAGGCACAGCCACATCAGCTCTTATTCATGCTAGTTGCCCGTGCTTTTGCCGGGGTTTCCTTGTGGCGTGGAGTGGAAACAACGGAAATAGACCAGGGAAAAGTCGAAAGGTACAGTTTAAAGTTATCAGAAACATGGTCTCGTTCCACGATTTTTTTCCCTGGAGTAGGACCTCCACCGTGACCAATTGCTGCTGCCTCAGGAAATGCCTCATCTCCCGCGAGTTACAGTTCAGATGCCTGTGGAACTGTCGTCCAAGGCTTTGTTTCAGCACATTTTTGATACTCATTTTCGGTGCCTCATTTCCACTTAAGTATCCAAATATCCATCCTGAATCAAACATTCCCAGCAAGAAATCTGTTGAGGGATTTTGCGGGGAAAATGACACCATCAAGCATGTATTGGACATTGTTGTCATTTCTTGGGCGGCCACTATGCCATGGCATACGTCTGCGATTTCAGTTTCAGTTGCAGACGCACCAATGGCGGGCTTCAATCGATGACTCTGCCTCACATGAGGATGTCACAATATGTTAGAATCAACTTTGTAGGCCCATTGCTCAGAACACTGCTACTCACTGCGCAGTCTGCAGTCTGCAAAATGATCCGAATGGTATCTTATCTATCTAACTACACTTTCTCAGCAAAATCGAGAAGCTGCGACACAGTCATATGATATGTCATATAGACACTCTTCGCCCAGCAGGAGTTCGAAAGAGAACCCACCTTGTGACCATCCGTCACGACGTTCAGTACCCATCATCCACCGGTATCAGGGGCCATGGCACCGACCCAGTTCCCCGTCCCAAACCCTGAGGTCTGTGACCGTCCGCCTGGTTGGACCGACCACCCGGTCGCCAGCACGGGCGTAGTCAGCGCTTGAGCGAGGTCGGCCTCCGTGCGCGGCAGCGAGTGCAGCGCCTTGAGCAGCCCACTGGAGCCAGACAGCCAATTGATGACCTTCGTGCGGAAGCTCAGGGAGGGCGGCTCTGGGTCACAGGGGGGTGACAGGGGTAAAAGAAAGGATGACTAAGAGTGGAAGCAGGAAATTGTAGAAAACGCTTCATGCAGGTCAAGGCTTCATTTTGTTGGTTTGATTCATGACCACCTGTAAGTGCAACATAGTTACACCGACTGACTGCGCGCAGAAATCCCCCCCACTGCACAAAACGCTAGGATTTTTCAAACGAACTGGCGCCTCGCGTGCGATGGCCATTGGCCCGGGCAAGCCGGCCGCTTCGGTCGCAGTCGGACCGGGCTTCGGTTGGTGTTTGCTGGAAAGGATGAGACCAGCGCCAACCAGAATGGCTTGAATGGTGCGAGTGGGGGCTACGATGTTTGGCTTACAGGACAGCTGCTGCTTTGTTTTCTTCTCCGAATTCCGGAGCTCAGATCCAGGCCAAGTGCCAAGAGGTTGCTTTTCGCGATGGCCCTTGGCCCGGGCGGATGTTTTTTTCTCTCGTTCGGTCGGGTATAGTGTTTTTTGTTCCCATTTTGGTGTGTTTTGTTCCCGTGGTGTTTCCCTTTCCCGGAACGGTGTTTTCTGTGCCCGCGGGTGTTTTGTGTTCCCGCAGGTGTTTTCTGTTGCCGCTAGTGCGGTGTTTTTTTGTGGCCGCCAAGGTGTTTTTTGTTCCCGGCAACGCCGTCAAGGTGTTTTTCCCCAGATAGCGAAGCTATGGGGTTCTTACTTCAAATAACAATGAGTTGCCCGTGCGCACTTTCGAGACAGGTTGCTGGTGCTGGTGCCGGGTGCTGGTGCTGGTGCTGTGAGCTGGCTGTGCACGCTGGTGCTATGAGCTGGCTGCGCGCGTGGTGGAGACAGGTTGCTGGTGCCGGGCGCCGGGTGCCGGTGCTGGTGGTGGCGGGTGCTGGTGCTGGTGCTGTGAGCTGGCTGTGCACGTGGTGGTGACAGGTTGCTGGTGCTGGTGCTGGGTGCCGGTGCTGGTGCTGGTGCTGTGAGCTGGCTGTGCGCGTGGTGGGGACAGGTTGATGGTGCTGGTGCTGGTGCTGGGGCCGGTGTTGGTGCCGTTGTGCACGTGGTGGAAACAGGTTGCTGGTGCTGGGCGCCGGGTGCCGGTGCTGGTGCTGGTGGTGGCGGGTGCCGGTGCTGGTGCTGGTGGTGGAGACAGGTGCTGGTGCTGGTGCTGCCGGTGCTGGCGCTGGTCCTGTGAGCTGGCTGCGCGTGAGGTGGAGACAGGTTGCTGGTGCTGGTGCCGGGTGCCGGCGCTGGTGCTGTGAGCTGGCTGTGCACGTGGTGGAGACAGGTTGCTTGTGGTGCAGATTGGGTGCTGGTGCCGGGCGCTGGTGCTGGCTGTGCGCGTACTCCACGCTGTATTGCGTGTAAAAATTGGAGCTGCTGCCAATGCAGGGTGCAGCCCAGAAAAATCTTTTGCATGCTTTTGCTATCTGGGGTCTATGCTGGAGTAATTTGTTCCCGGCAATTCTGTGATCCTGTGTGCCCGTTGGTTGTTGGCGGTGCGTTGATATGGCCAGCAATGAAACACACATGTCGCGTGAGTGGAGAAAAGTTGCTGCGCCCGCAGCCTTTTGAAGGACTGCGCAATTGAGGAGATATGTCGGTGTGACTTCGCCCGGCCAAACAGTTTGCAAAGAGCACACTCCACGCAAAGACCCGCGTCTGGGAAGGGTATGGAAGGTAACATGAGCGATATTGCAACTGCGCCGTGTGCTGACAATTTGGGGGCGACTTAAAGTCGCACATACCCACACAAGTAGGTGGGAGAAACATTGCAGCTGGAGTAGACTTCGTTGGGTGAGGGCAAAGACAAAGAGACTGCGCAGTGCGGACTGTTTCCACGTGTTGGTACATGAGGGTATAGTGTGTGGCACAAGCTCGGCCAAGTGGCAGCAGTGGTAGTCGTCGTAGTAGTCCCGCAGTATCAGTACGTATACTAGTAGTCGTCGTCGTAGTCGTACTAGTAGTCGTCGTCATCGTCATCGTCGTTGTTGTCGTCGTCGTGGTAGTGGTGGTGGTGGTAGTAGTAGTAGTAGTAATAGTAGTAGTAGTAATAGTAGTAGTAGTAGTGGTGGTGGTAGTAGGAGAGGTCGTAGTAGTCGTAGTATATGTCGTGGTAGTGGTAGTGGTAGTGGTAGTAGTGGTTGTGGTATATGGTTGGTGTTCTTGTTGTTGTTGTTGTTGCCGCAGCAGTAGTGGCTGTTCCAGATTGAATCTTTTAGTCTATGCCAGCCTTGCCTGACTTGGGGTCTCTCCGGAGTCGGCCCTTGTCGCATGCTTTCCAAATTCGCGCGGATGTGGCGATTTCTTTCATTTTAGCCAAAAGCAACACACGACTATGACAGTCAAATGTCAAAAGGTTGTGTTGCGCAAAGGCAAATGGGTAAAAGCCAACGTGCAATATGCGCAGTCCGTTGTTCGTCTCATCCGCTTCCTGCCCGCGCCCCCGTTTTTCCTATGTTTGGAAAGGCTTCCTGCAGCGTGTGCAGTCCCAAGCAGAGAGCCACCTTGTCGAGTGGCTGCGTACTTGTGAGAGGCCTCTACCCGAGCACAGACAGGCCAGCCAGGGTTTGAGACCATTGCCCGTATATGTTAGCATGTGGTCCGGGATACAAGGTTGTGCTCCAGCTTGCAGCGCGGTTTGCGGAATTGCTTGCCGACCACACATATGTCATTGTGCCAGGGCCTCCGCTCATTGTTCCGATGGTCTCCAGTGAGCCCCTGCTACCTTTGAATTTGCGTGCCGCCAGCAATCCAGCCAGGTTATTGCATGAGTGCGGAATTCTGAACCAGGCGCGCGAAGTGCAACTGCTAAGCCCCCGTGCTGTTTTCCAGGCGCAGCCACATCATTCAGCATGACGGACGCAGCTGCTGCACGTGTCCACCCTTTGCCTCTCATCTTGTTGGATAGCCTTGCTTTACCACTCGTCCAGCACTCCGTTCTCTTCAGAACCACCTGCTGCTTCCCGTCGCGCAGGTCGAAAACGCGCTGCCGAGACTGGCCCACGACAGCAGAAGCTTGACTACAAGCGAGCTACCGCCGCGAACAACAGGGCAGGCGTGCAGCGCTCCGTGCTACTTCATGCTTGGCTTTTCTATGTCGCTGTCGTCGCTCGCGCAGGTGATGCCTCTACTTGGATGCTGGGCACCCTCAAACGCACGCTGCGACCGTGCTGTTTGAGCAGCAAACGCACAAGCTCCTGCAGCGGTCGTGTGCGGTTGTTCTTTGCAATGATGCTCAGGCCTTGCAAGTGCAACTGCTCTAGTACTAGTAGCACTAGTAGCGCTAGCAACACTCGTAGCACTAGTAGCAGTAGCAGTAGCAGTAGCAAGTATATAGCTAAGGAGCTAGTAGCTAGTAGCTAGTGGTCCCAGTAGTAGTAGTAGTAGTAGTAGTAGTGGTAGTGGTAGTGGTAGTGGTAGTGGTAGTAGTCCTAGTAGTAGTAGTAGCAGTAGTAGTAGTGGTGGTAGTAGTAGTAGTCGTAGTGTCAGTGGTAGTAGTAGTCGTCATCATCGTCGTCGTCGTCGTAGTAGTAGTAGTTGTTGTAGTAGTAGTAGTAGTATAGTAGTAGTAGTAGTGGTTGCAATACTCTAGCGGTCGTAGTAGTCGTAGCAGTAGTACTAAGTTGTTGTTGCTGTGGTTGTTGTCGTCGTAAGAGTAGTTGCAGTAGTTCTAGTAGTAAAGCACCAATCGTGCCACCAGTGCCAGTATAGTCGTATTGCTACTGGTACTGATCGTCGTTGAACGAACATACACATGACATCACCCGAACCATGCGGGAACAGAAAACACAATTCTACGCGGGTATTTTGGCCGCCAACACGGCGGGAACAGAAAACACCTGTACGGGAACGGAAAACACAGCTGGACACAAAAAACCTTTTTTCCGGGAACGTAAAGCTGGACAGCGGTAACATTTCAACCGCATCGGCGGGAACAGCAAACACATGCGGGAACACAAAACACTCGCGGGAACAGAAAACACCATGCCGGGAAAGGAATCACCACAGGAACAAAAAGCACCGAAGTGGGAGCAGAAAACCCGCAGCCCACGTTCGGTCCTCTCCGGCCCTGCCCCGCAGTCGGCAGGAACTCCTCAAGCCAGTCCCGGATTGCAGGGCAAGAATGCCACTCGGGTTTGGTTTGTGGACGAAACGAGCTGTGGAGTTGGCGAACGCGGTGGACGAAGCGGAAGGTCAACAACAACTTTCTGGTGACACACCTGCTGCAACACGGAATGCCAAACTGCTTCAACAAGTCACCCAAACTTCGGCAGCCATGCCGACAGTGAACACAGAAAAGCTTCATCCAACCACGGGGGGTCGGTTCGGTTGGGGGGGTCGGTTTGACCGTCCCTTTGCTTCCCGAGGTCTTTGAGGAGATCCAACAGTTTGCGAAGTCGGCGGCCTCCGCCTCGCACAGCAAGTCCGCACCTCGGCGAACAGTCTGAGCTGACGAGTCCGCAGATGCGGCTATGAAGGTGTAAACAGACGGTGAAGCGTGGTGGTCATGGCATAACCATGCATCACCTGTTCCCCCGGGAGCTTGCAACCGTACGACCCAGCGTCGTTGGAAGCTAGAAGAGCCTAGCAGGTACTATCAGAGGTGCCTCTAAATGGTTTTGTTTTTGTAGGTCATTAAGGTAGCGGATGTGGTGCGTCCGTGACTTCTGAACTCGCCAATCTTGAAGAGATTCTCTACATTCTCTTCAGACGCTTCGGCGCCGCAGACCGTGGTGCATGTGTTACTCAGGGGAAGCCTTTCCGACATCGTCTGTGTTTTGGCATCGATGTTTTCCCCTCTTTCGATGCTTTCTCAGCCAAGGAGGGGCTGCTGGACCAAGGCTCTTCCAGCAAATGGAAGGAGTTCAACTCTTCCCTTCTGAATTACGTGGCTGGAGCACTGGTGCTTCTCAACTCGCTGAAGCTTGGATTGGAGAAAGGCCACGGGCTCCTGGACTGGATGCTCCTGGCATGAGAAGTGCAGAGAGGTGGAGAAGTGAGAACTTGCCCACGGGTTCCGGCACGTGCCCACTTGGACGAATCAGCTGTTGTTTTCTTTTTTTTGGTGCGCGAGCTGTGAGGATCATGCTTTGCGAGCTGGAAGTGGAAGGAAGGGCAATTGGACAGCAGTGACTTGACCTTCAGAAGGAACACTTGCTTGGTTGCCATGTTTCCGTTTTTGCGTGTTGGAATCTCTGCCTGGTGCGCTTGAAAGCATAAACTGCAAAGCCATCCCCCCCAAAAAGAGACCCACCATCAAAAGATCGTGAACATTCTGGGATATATGTATTGTGTATTATGTATATGTGTACATGTGGATAGACCAAATTCGGAGTGAGATCCTGCAGGTCCTCATGGCTCACTCACCTCCATCTCCTGCCCCCCCTCGTTGCCGAGTCAAACCGTTCGCGTCGCCCCACGTCTGTCCGAGGCTGGGCCAAGTGGGTGAAGCTGCGCCGCTGGAGGAAGTGCGGCCGGTCTTCAGCACTTTGGATGGGGCCTTCGTCTTTGTCTTCCTGGCTGAGCTCCTTGGAACCGGGGGTGATGGGTGTGGCTGCTGGGTGTGGCTTTGGGTCATGGGTGCCAGCCAGAGTTTCTGGGTTGTTCCGGGCCGTTTGGTTTGGTGATGGATAGTTCAGGTCATATGAGGTCAGCTGGTAGATCAGCAGTGAGGACCATTCAGACACGCAGTCTGGATTCAGATGGTGTATTTTGACCGCACGCCCTCTGAGCAGTGGCGCTCCTTGTTGCGTGATCCTTTTGCCTTTTGCCGATTCATTCAGCATTCAATCACGGATCGCGTTGATGGTGCCAACATAGGGTTTGGATCCCCAAAACCGCGACGACGTCAAAACCACGAAGCTTGCCCCTGGTTTCGCCCCACAGCTTATACCTGCCTCCCTGTCAATGTATCAAAAAGATCCACGGATGATGGGAGGAGAGTCACGCAGTCAGGGACTCCTCATTCCAGATAATTAAATGGCAACAATATTACTAAACATATGCATACATAAACAAATAACCAAATACATACATAAATGTATATACTATATACAATAATATATATATATATATATACGTATCATCAAATATACACACACCTATATATATATATATATGTGTATCATATATATATATATACACATATATAGTATTACTTTGCTTATTTTTGTCAGTGGTCTTTCTCCCGCTGGACGACGACAGTCTTCGTCCGACCTGAGGCTCCTGGCGCGGATTTTTCTGGAACGATCCAGCGTGCTTCGTGATGTTGCGATGCTTGGCGTGCAGTCAGTCGAGCAGCCAGTCCGAAGTAGCATGAGTTGGATTCATCTTTGGTTTTGGATGCGTGGTCAGGAGCTCCTAAACCGGGAGGTGCAGCATCCGGCATGGTTGGCATGAATGCATGGTGAAGCATCCAGCATCACGCCAGCTCAGGTTTTGGTTTGATGCCTTTTTAGTGCTCCTTGGCTCATGCCACTGGCTGCTTCTTGCTTGGGATGGACCTGCTTGAAGTGTGAGGATGTCAGTCTGAAAGAGGATACGTTAGTGTGAAGCGCAGCCTTGCAGATTCGATTGATATAATCGTAGACTTCGTGGGTGCATCCAGTAGTCACGTACTATACCAGGACAACCCGCTGGAGACGGAGACGGAATTTGAAAATTTACTCCGGGGTGAGAGTAGATGGCAAAAGTTTTCTTTTTGAGCCATCTTTATTTATACCACACTACCCCCGATTGCGCCATCTATGTGCTAAAAAAGAGATGTTTATAGGGCGTTCTGCAGAACGCTTGGCGATGTCAAAGTGGCATATTCACAGATGGCGCAATGGGGCACATGGCAGTTGCATTTGCGCCAACAACTTCCTCAATGTTTGCAGAGTTTTGCAATATCAAATGTTTCCCGTGGCTTGAGAAGAAAAGTTTTATCTATTTTTTAGGGGCAGGATTCACGACATATTGTGCAATTCGTGCAATTCTTGACTATGAAAAGACAGATTTTTTTGCAATATCGTGCAAATCTTGACTTTCAGGATATTCCTGGCCCAATTCTGACATGTATGTATGGCGTTGCGCCTTCTATGACTTATTTTTGATTTTTGGCAGCGTGTTTTGCAAGCGGCTCTCGCTATCTTTGCGGCCAAAAAAGGCTGAATTGCGTCATCAATAGGTTATTTTGCGCTCAGGTGGAGCACACCTGGCGCAATCTGCCTTTAGGCCGTTAACTACTGATCATTGAGAAAATTGTGCCATCCTCCTTCCCGGCGGTGTAGATATATTTTAACGGACGTCAGTGCCAATACGACTGAGGGCTGCAGGTTTGGCGGACATGATTATCATCCTTCCGCTTGTGGACTCTGGTGCCGGAGGGATTGGAGGCGTGCGGGGTCATCCTTTTTGCGGTCCATCCTGTGGGGGGCCGTGAATTTGACTTACTGCAAGTTTTTTTTGGTTCTTGATGTGCCGCGGAGAAACAACAATCATCAAGAATCGCTGCAGATTCCCCCAAAGTTGGGTTTTCACATGTTTCACTTCGCACTTCGTCTACCAACTGGGCCACTTTTGGTCGATGAAGCACACAAGCGGAAGTGGAAGCGATCCTTTTTCTGGCGGTGAGGCGATCCAAAGAACATCGTCCTTCTTCGCCTGGTGCGTGCCTTGAAGGCGTTCCGTGCCATCCGGATGGTCAGGAGAGCTTGGTTTTCTTTGGGGCGCGGATGGGGGCGCGGATTGGCGAGCGGCGACGCCGGGAACGGGCTCGGATGAGAGTCCTGCTGTTGGGGGTGGAGGAAGAGGTCGGGGTTGAATTGATGAAGAAGGATATGATATGATATGGATGTGGACCAGCAGGACTGAAGCAAGTGATTCATTTAGTTTAATGGTCATCCTTTTTCTCAGTTTCTTACATCTATTGGTTCGTGAGTCGTGGTCGGGCCCATCTGTCTCTTCCCTGTGGCACCCCCAAGATCCACCCGATATAATGGTTGATCTGGGGCTGAGTCTTAATGTCTTGAGTTACTAACCGGATGATTCCCCGGTGTGAACTAATTTGCTTGCTTCCTTTGCTTTGAGTTGCCTTGCTTTGCTTTTGTGTTGCTTTGCCTTGCCCTTGCTTCCTTCCTTCCTTCCTTTCTTGCTCGCTTGCTTCCTTGCTTGCTTGCTTCCTTGCTTCCTTTCTTGCTTGCTTGCTTCCTTGCTTGCTTGCTTGCTTCCTTGCTT